TCACGCTTCTATTGGCTAGCCTCCAACACATTGTATGTGATAGGCTAAGGGCGGGATATCTCTTAGCAGTTGACTTATCACAACAGAGCCGGCCAGCTAACCAATCAGAGCAGACTGGGCTCTGGTTTCAGACAGAGGGTGAATAGAGGTGCTGCAGCACAGGCAGTATGAGAAAAATAAAGAGCTTTTTGAACATTAAAGCATGGAGACATGTCCCAGTAGAGGCACAAAATACTAATAATAACCTGAAAATGATCATTATACTTTATGTACTCTTTAAATAGAAAGTAATATTGTTTGTTTTTCAAATATTAAAATGTGAGTGTAGACAGGCCCGTAAAGTTAATTCTGCATGATGATATGTATTTCCATATTATCCGGCTCTGCTTACACTGCCTCTCAAATTGAGCACCACCTGTCACCCTTAATGTGTGTTATAACCCGCTGGGCCATGATCAGTCTGGATCGCAGTTTACAACCTCGTCCTCTGCCACGACACACAATTACAACCCATTCGATTTACCCGGAAACTATGCAAAAGACTGACCGAGCACTAATGATATCCCTGGAAACTCTAATTGACACTTCCAAGTTTAAAGCAGAAATTAAAACCACTGAATTGGCACACTGGGAGAGAGACCACAGCCCTCAGTACTGTATGGATTATTTTGCCCCTGCGAAACCATTTAAAGACTTCAGCTCTCCTGTCAGCTCAGATAAACAAGATCAACGTTTATGATCACTGAGCTGGCAGACAGGTTGCACTCTTGGATGAAGTTAGCTCGCTGGAACATGAAGCCACTGACTTAGTAAAACATGGATGACTGCATCCATCATGCAAAAGCAATAAGCCAGATTGCATAAAAACAACCAAAACCAAAATTGGTTGTTAATGCCAGCTAAGACTAGTAGCTGAACAAACTTTTCGCTCGAAAAAAGGTCATTCGAAGGAGGAAAATCTACAACTTCCACCTTTGCTCAGTGTTTGTGATCCTGCTTTCTTTCTTAAAGGGGACATATTCTGCTCATTTTCGGTTCTTTTTTTCGTTTTGTGCCTATACTGTGTAATGTTTGCTCTAACGTGTAATGCTTTAGTGTTTAAAATGTCTTTATTTTTCTCATAATGCCTGTGCAGCAGCACCTCTTTTCACCCTCTGTCTGAAACCAGAGCCCAGTCTGCTCTGATTGGTTAGCTGGCTGGCTCTGTAAACAAAGGAGTCCAATGGAGGCGTTTCAGGCAAGGGGGGAGTGTTTGGGAGAGAAACTCCCTCTGGAGGGAACACAAGGATTTTCGCCTTTGCAGACATTTACATGCATACACATCTATATAAACAGTAACACACTAAAGCAGGGGTGTCAAACTCAAGGCCCGGGGGCCAAATCTGGCCCGTGACTTCATTTTATGTGGCCCCACAAGAGCTTGCAAATAATATAATATGTTCATTATACGGTTACATTGCGATTTACAGAAGCAAGTTGCCCATAAACTACATGTCCCACAATGCATCTCAAATTTGACTTTTTTCTCAGAATTTGCCTTTTCTTTTTAAATCATTTTGTGACATTCTCACCTAAGAGACTTGCAATTATTTTCCCTAGATTTCTGCTTTCAGACGTAGTTAACTATGAAGTTATTACCCTATCCGATAATAATTCAATGCAGAGGCAATAATGTAATATAAATTAATACATTATTTTATATATATTAAATATTTATATATGTATTTTTATATAGTCTTAAAGTTACGCCCTTTGAGTGCAACCATAACGCGAATGTGGCCCGTGATGAAATTGAGTTTGACACCCCTGCACTAAAGGAAAGGGAAACACCAAAGCAAAAATATAAAGCCTTCAAAAATGAATCTATGTTACCTGATCTTTATTTATTCTGCACTGACAATGAACTCATTTTAGATTTAGGTAAATATCTCCATTTGGCTGTTGTGTTTTTCCTAATATATGTTCTAGCCCTGGTGGCAAAGGGCACAGTGATGTAATTGTTTCAGAGTCATTGATGTTGGGATGATTATGGCTCAGCTGTGCCATCTGGTCATCTGCTGTTGCTGCCAAAGCAAATCTAACAGTGAAACATTTTGCAGGCACAGAGACGCGTGTCGTAAAAAGACAGACATCCTGGTCATTACTCGACAGAAAACAAGCTCTGGCAGTTTACAACAAATAACTAAACCACTCAAAGAAATCCATAAAATAACAAGCTGTTCGAACAAATGATCTCATATTGCTCTTTAAAATAATTTTTGTCAGCTGCGGGTTAAATATAGAAACTCAAGACTACTGCAATCAAAAAAGCCAATTAACATGCTGTAAGATGACGTGTGTGTGTGTGTGTGTGTGTGTGTGTGTGTGTGTGTGTGTGTGTGTGTGTGTATGTGTGTGTGTGTGTGTGTGTGTGTGTGTGTGTGTGTGTGTGTGTGTGTGTGATGAATATTTGATGTTTAGAGGCTCACTACATGCCCCTCTCTGATCATGACATCATGTTGGGACCAAAGATAATTTCTTTATAATTCATGAGGTCACCCGCTCGTCAAATCAAGCTACGACTGGTTCAAACTCTTGTCCTTGTCCTTGCTCTTCTTTTCTTCTCCCTCTGGTCCCCCTCCCATTTCTTTCTAATGCATTCTGTTTTATTTTGTATTTTTATAATGTGCCAAACACGACAGGCATTTATCAAATGTTGAGTGGTTTAAATATATTATATAAGTTCTGGGCATTGAAGAGATAGAAGTGGGCCGGATATAAAAAATATAAGAATAAAGATGTAATTCCATGAATCTCCTTGGACAACATATTGAGATATACTACCAATAGTTTTATTAGTAAAAACCCTTGTTATGGTTTAATAAATTGCCATGTGAGCCTTTGGCCATGCATGCAGCCTGTTGCAGTTCCTCCTGCTAGTTTTTCTTCCTACCTTTTTTTTTTACTACTCAAATGTTAGCCTTGTTTTTTTATCTTACTTGTTATCATTTTTTTAACTATCTTCGATTAGTTCATTGTTTCATGTTTTATTTTGTAAGGTCTTCACCTCCTGTCTTGCCTGTTTCTGTCTGCGTTGTGTCTTGTTTGGATTTGTCTGTGGTTCCCTGTCGTTAGTTTCCCTGGTGTGTCTGATTACCCGATTGTGTTCACCTGTGGCCCCTGTGTTTTCTCCTCCCTCCTCACCTGTGTCTTGTTTGTGTGATTAGTCTTGTGTGTATTTAAGTTCTGTCTTTGTCGGTTCGTCTTGTGTCATGACTAGTTCATCGGTGAGTGTTCTGTTCTGTCTGTGTTATCACCTAGCCTTAAAATAAAGGAACTTTCACTTTAATCTGCATTTGGGTCCTACTTGGGTCCTACCTGCTTCACACACCGTGACACTCTCAATATGAGCAACAAAAGATCACTGGCTAATGGAATGGACGAGCTAATGGCGTTAGCTAGGAGTTAGACAGAATATCTGGGGTGTAGTTTAATGTACTTTACAGAAGCATGGCTGCACCAGGATATATCTGACGACAACGTTTCCATCCATGGCTTTCCTCTTTTGTGTGTTTGAACACGTTTTATGTCCTTGGGCTGTTTAATTAGAAAACATTTATGAAAACACTTTTTTCTGCTGATGGGAAGGAACACTCTTGGCATTGGAAATGTTGAGGGTTCAAGTCCAGTTTATGACCGCTTTCTTCCCTCCGTCCATCGCACAGCTCCTAACTTTGAACTGCCAAAACATCTACACATTGCAGGGAGCCAAGTTGAGCCAAGACACTTAAATGCAAAGCATAAAAGAAGCAGGGAATGATAATTATATTTGTGTGTGTTTGCATGCATATACATGTGTGGGATGCAGACTGGTTGCCCGGACCCCCAACAGTGAAGCAGAGAGGAGTTTGGGGAAGTTGTCCTGCCTCCCCTCTCTCCACATTTGACTCTCGACAACATGCAGGAATCAAGCTGTGCAACAGTGTGAAGAGGAGGGAGAGGAGCATCACACACTCCGTAATAACCGGCCTTAATTAAGACCAGAGGGAATAGGGGAGTTATTAGCTGTCATAAGCAAGTTTATCAGACCCAGAGAGAGTAGATACCAGTGTGTGTGTGTGTGTGTGTCCGTGTGTGTGTGGAAATACTTGCCGCGTTTATCCATCCTAATGTGGATGCATGTGCAAGAGAGAGACGTAGAGATGCATAGAGAAAATCATGATTGTTCAGACGTGTGTGTGTGTGTGTGTGTGTGTGTGTGTGTGTGTGTATGTGTGTGTGTGTGTGTGTGTGTGTGTGTGTGTGTGTGTGTGTGTGTGTGTGTGTGTGTGTGTGTGTGTGGATGTGTCTGTATGATGCACTATTGGAGGATAAGTATTCCCACCAAATACTCCAACTGTTATTAATATGTATGCAGCTGAGAGAGATACCCTCTCATCTCCTAGCTCATCAAAACACATTAAACACACACACACACACACACACACACACACACACACACACACACACACACACACACACACACACACACACACACACACACACGAACACGAAGTGAGAGAGAAGGAGAGCCATCCATCAGCAAACAAATAATAAGTGTTTAATGCAGTTTGAGACACTTCAGTTCATTTCCATAGAGGGAAAGCTTTTTAACTTTGGTGACTCATTGCTCTGTTGTCTTTTACCAATGGGGGAAAGTGGAAATCGCAAAGCATTCAGAGGCCATATGTGGGGGATGACATTGGCCTACAGTTACAGCTTTCATTATCTATCATTAGTTTATTCATCTGTCATTCGTACATTTTAAAAAATGTATGTAAATGCTATTGCCCATAAAAGGCAAATTACTAACATAACTACTAATGTTTTACAAGGTTTCACTTTTTATTTATGGTAACACTTTATATTAAGGTACACAAATTAACTTAATGACTGTTGTGATCTCTACATTTAGCCAAGACACTTAAATGTACACATATAGTGTTGTTATCAGCTTTCAAGGAAAAACAAATTACACTTTTTTCAACAAGTACTGACACACAACAACCACGGTTTATTTGTTCACATGGTGAAAAGTAGATGACCACTAAAGGTGCTATGATGATTGGAATTGTCATGTATCTTGGAGTTTTCCCACAAACGCAAAAACACAACATCTCCGACCTCTAGAAGCAGCGTGGCACCATTAGAAGATTTTACCCCACCTGAAGACTGGTGTTCATATGCAATACAAACTCTCTCTCTGTTCTTGAACAACACAGCACCTGAAGCATGTGACGGATCACCGGGACCGTATACGTGGAACTCAAAGTGGTAGGCTCCTCTCACCGGTGCAATGAAAAAACCTGTGGGACATTTGTTTGTCAGTGAAGGTAACTATCGATTTGTTTGCTGATCATGTATTGTATTCAGCATAGCCGAAAACCTAAAACTAATTTTAAATGATTGAGTTTGAGTAGCCTACCTGTGTTTGGGTTGTAGGCATTCCCAATGTTTGAGAAGACGTATCTGAAGACCAGATTAGTCTGAGTGTTAAATGGTCCGATAGTTCCTGAGCCTGAAGCCAACAGAGAGGCTGAGAAAGCCACCTGTTTGAGAGAGAGAGAGAGAGAGAGAGAGAGAGAGAGAGAGAGAGAGAGAGAGAGAGAGAGAGAGAGAGAGATAGAGAGAGAGAGAGAGAGAGAGAGAGAGAGAGAGAGAGAGAGAGAGAGATAGAGAGAGAGAGAGACATTTTATTTCTGTTAATTCATGCTTTAAAAATACGTACATATGTTACAAATTCAACCTATTATTTAGATGTTTTACCTTCTCCGTCTCTCTTCAGAGCCTCCACCTGGTTTTCTGTGACATTTGACCTGGCTTTCACAGTGATCATCTCTGCTGCTTGTACTGTGAAAAAAGTGATTACATATTTGTGTCTGACAGAAATAGAGTTTGATAGTTTCAAGTATTTCATCATCACTGTCTTCATCAAGGTTAGCTATGCCTATGGTACATTTATGTTTAAAAAATACATGTTCAAACAGGGTTTTCTCCTTGCTTAAGATATAATAAATCATTTTCACTATAAATTGTCAGAGCCACGATCTTGTCCACACATTACCTTGAAGTTGTTACTTTAGCTTGTCCCCCTCAGTCTTCTGCTTCTCCAGTTCAGTCTTCTGTAACTCCAGCTTAGCGGTTTGTGCTTTATTAAATAATAAAATAAATGTATAGCTATTTATTGAACAATAAAAAAAATAAAATTCCTGCACTACTTTCGTTTATTTCACAGCTAAGTAGAATACTCGATTCTGATAGGTCAATTTTGAAATTGCAGAGGTTGGTAATACAAGATAACACACAGCTGCTTAGCAAAAAATAATGACCGTTGCTAAGGAGAATAAAGGGAGATAAGGAGAGAGCTTTAAAGACAGAGCGTTGGACGTCAGATAAATTAACAGAAGATGGCAGACAGGAAGTAAACACTAACAGGAACACGTTATGGGCTGTTCTGGCATTGTTTAAGGACTTGTTAGTCGACAATAAAATGTGAATGTACTCGCACAGTAACAGTTAACCCCGATCAGTGCTGCCATTCATCTTAAGTTCAGACACTCCCCAGTTCCAGTACGCAGTGGAACGGAGCATTTTTTACAAGCAATACGATACGTTTTAAGTCGAAACAATTATTCTGAAGTTAATATTGTGACTCAAGTCGTTGGTTTGGGGGGATCAAAATCCCTCCGCTTCACATTGGGCTCCATGATCACCCAGTGTTCTTTTTTCATTAACGATCGCCTCGCTGCACATCGTCCCTTAATATTTCAGTTACTTGTTTAGTTACTATTTAAGCCATGTTAACAGTATGACTCTGGATAGGCAACTGTGGGTTATTCAGTTGCTACAGACATTGTGATGTTACTGCCACCAGAAAGACATTTTGAGTGACAAACTGGGTTTCATTGGGCATGTTGGACACATCAAGTCAACATTGTAGTAAGTCCAATAGCTCGGTTTATAACTCAACTACAGATACTCCCAACAGCCTCAGCTGTATGTTACTGGGGTGCTGATTAGCATATGATAGCAGCATGCTAACATGCCAAGCTAGTCTTTTGATAACCTCCTTTCTTTAGAAATGAATTGTGTGACATATAAGACAATTAATGGGATTGTCGGACACGTTCTCTGCAACATCAGATTATTGTTGTTTTAAAATAAAAAGGTGAACAAGCATGTATCAATAGTTTTTCAGACTGAAAGTTGTTACATCTGTTAATAGGCCTACATGTATTCTGCAATGTAAAATAGTATAGTGAAACAACTTTATATCCAAGAACGGTTTCCATATTTCCCCACCTTGGGCTAAAATAATGTGATACAGTAGCAATGTGAAATAAATTCTGCAATGAAGACAATCTTTGACAGTTTAAAGAATTTCAACATCACTGCTTTCATTAGCAACTGAAAATGTGTTCTAGTAAATTAGTTAGATGTCATTAAATCATTAAAAAATGTTTTGAATATATTTAGGACAAATGTAATGTCTCCAATTTGACATATATTCATCGTATACCTTGTTGCTGTAGCTTCAACGTGTGCATCTCAGTCTTCTGTAACTCCAGTTCTCTCAGCTTAGCTGCATGTGCTAAGAAGAAAGGTATACAAAAAGATTCTACGGTAAAACCCATTCTTCACAAACAACAGCTCTGTAATTTGTGAATGAACAAAAAATATGTTGTTTTAAAAAGTGGTTCCCATATGTCTTCCCTCCCCACCTTACACTCTACAGTACCTTCATTCTCTCTCTGAAGGTGCCTCGTCTACACCCTCTGTTCAGCCAAAGAGGCGCTCATCTCTCTCAGCACAGCGTGGATGTCTTGAGGACAGGTCTGTTGGTGCTCAGACACATTTGTTGGTTCTCCTCCCTGGGATTCAGCAGGATGTGGAACAATGTCATTGTCAGACTGAAGCTGAGCCGTAGAGAGAGAGCAGATCAGCAGCAACAGAGGAAAACACATGGTCATCTCCATTCTCAAAGAGGCAGTCTGTTCAGACCTACTTTAGAGTCTCTGGTAATCCCAGCTTTATAGTGTCTTCTCCTGATCAATCATTACTGAAAATATTGACCATAAACATGTGGAAAAAAACCTTTGAGCATGTTCTCAGGAAAACTACAGTAAAAACACAACACACCCCGGGCGCTGTGCAATAGCTGGTCTGCTCCTGGTACTAGGATGGGTTAAATGCAGAGAACAAATGTCACTGTGTGTGCTGTGTGCTCTGCATGTGAGACCATTAAAGAGGGTCCCTCCCAATATTATTATTATATTATATATATTATTACACAAACATAACTTATCTACAATTACAGTGCCTGATGGAGTTAGGCTCAAACTTAATCAGTTTAGTGTTCCTACAGCTTCTTAGAAATCAAATTCTAGGACATGTCAAGTATTCAACAGAGCATATGACCTCAAATTCAAGGACCCAACGCAGCCTCATAAATGTAAAAAAATGACCTTCTGATAACATATTGGAGCATCTGGAAAATATCTTTGAAAACACAGCACACAATAGTAAACAAGCTTTTACTTTTGACTTATTTTTGAAACGTCATTCTTGATTCTTGATGTATGTATGTGTGTGTGTGTGTGTGTGTGTGTATGTGTACTGTATGTGTGTGTGTCTAGGGAATCTGTGTTTCAATTACAATGTATGTGTGTGTGTGTGTCTAGGGAATCTGTGTTTCAATTACAATGTGTGTGTGTGTGTGTGTGTGTGTGTGTAGGGAATATGTGTTTCAATTTAAAAACTACAATATGAATAGACAAACATTAAAATCACCATAGTGGCAGTTAACAGTGTCAGTAAGTCAATGTAAACAACATAATTATCATCTGTACTTGTTTAAACATGAATTACATAGTAAGATAAAGTGATCTCACTGAAGTTGTTCATTGTCTGAGATAAACAAGTACTATAAAATACATGTAATTTTAGCGATAAAGAAATGTTTTCTCGTTGCTTCCTCAATAAATCCAGAAGGGTACGTTTAAAGGTTAGCTATCTTAACTTTAAAAAGCAAAAACTTTTATAAATATTAATATAAAATAAAATATGGGACAAAATCCCCCCCAAAAAGAGATTTTGAGTGGATGTAGTTTTCAATGAATATGTGCTTTATTTCAATTTAATAATTTCCGTATGATATACAAAAGGATTTTAGAATTGTTAAACAAAAGAGGTGTGTCCTACTGATCCAGTCCAAACAGAAAGTGGCTTTGGGTGACATGACATGGAAGCTATAGAAAAGAAATGACGCTTTTCAAATCAGAACCTGAACCACTTAGTACTTTGAGCGACGTATCAGGAAAACAACAATAAAAACACAGCACACAAACATAAATGATGTACTAGTACCTGTATGATGGAGTGTACATCACATTGTTAAAACATGTATTCACTGATATAGTTTGAGATACGGATGGAAGTAGATTACTGTTGTGAGAAGGAGCAGGCTCTACAGAAGCTCAGAGACAAAGAAAGAGAAAGACTTACAGTGATGGCAGACGTTTCTCTAACACAGCAAAACAATATCTAGGTTGAGCGACAGAGACATACATACACTTATTTACAAGGTTGAAGAACAAATTAAATAACTGAACGGTTCAACAATGTACAATATATATAAACTCAAACACATTTAATGGCCAATGTGCATTTTCATTAACTCTAAAGGCCTTGATTTTTACCCCCAAAAATTGTTTATTATAACAATTACAATGCATTGGTGTGAAGGAAATCTTATGGTATTATTTTATGTTTTAATGAAACAATTACAAAAATATAATGTGGATTATCGAATATTATAAAATGTTTATTAAAATCACTTCATGGCAGGTCCGTGAAAATAATGTCAACAAAATAATGATCATCCATTTGTTCAAACATTAATGACAGTGAGATAAAGTGACCTCAATGAGGCTGTCCATCAGGTCATATGATAAAAGACTTACCAGAAACCAAATGAAGATGACTATAAAATATATTTTCTCCCTTTCCTTCCTCAATAAATCCAGTATAGTTATAAAATCTGACTTTTAAAGAACAACACAAAGTTATAAAACATCTACAGGCAGGAAGTAGCAGAATTGTGTGCGCTTTATCAGATTTTTAACACAACATTATTTGTTCTAACTGATATTAACCAGTCTTTCCCAAAACAAAAGACAAGTGCTGAGTCAGAAAGTCAAAATATGACAAAGTGCAAAGCTTCTCAGCTGAAAATGGATCAGTGACTATGTTCACAGAGCCTGAGATCTCACCAACATCTGAGACAACTATTGGTGATTATTTAATCTCTCAGAAACAGATAAGACACATCTTTTTTGTTTTCTACTAACAGTATGAATTTTTTTTTTTATGATCAACTTTGTGTGTCGACAAATAGTATTGGAGTGATATGTCTATGATTGTATTTAAATGTAAGAGAACATGAAAAAACATATGTAATATTTATAATTTGCTGCTACTGATACAGTCCTTTTGGTTGTTGTGCAGCATTGTCAATAAAAAAGCAAAGCTTTAATACAAAAAAAATAGATCATATAGCGGAAGAAAATGAGTTTCCCTTTTACACGGTGAAAAGCAGATGACCACTGAAAGTGCAATGGTGATTTTCATTGTCATGCATTTGATTGTTTTGCCGCAAACGCAAAAACACAACATGTCCGACCTCTAGAAGCAGTCTGGCACCATTTGCAGAAGACCCAGCACCTGACGGCTGATATTCATATGCAGCACAAACATTCTCTCCATTCTTGATCAACACAGCAGCACCTGAACCATGTGAAGGATGACCGAGATCATATACGTAGAACTCAAAGTGGTAGGCTCCTCTCACCGGTGCAATGAAAAAACTTGTGGGACATTTCTTGTCAGTGAAGGTAACTTGAGATTTGTTTGTTGATCATGTATTTGAATTCAGCAAAGCCTAACACCTGCTACAATTTTCAAATTGTATAAGTTTGAGTACCTGTGTTTGGGTTGTAGGCATTCCCAATGTTTGAGAAGACGTTTCTGGAGACCAGATTAGTGTGAGTGTTAAATGGTCCGATAGTTCCTGAGCCTGAAGCCAACAGAGAGGCTGAGAAAGCCACCTGTTTGACTGAGAGATTTTATTTACCTATTGTGAATTTAAGTTTTTAAATGTGCACATATTACATAGTATTTCATCATCACTGTCTTCATCAGATTAGCTTTGACCATGGAACATTTTCTTTAATACATATAATGTATTTTAAGATATTTCTGATATATTTATTCTAATATATTCTGTCTGCTAAAACAGGGTTTTTTCTTTGCTTAAGATAAAATATCATAAATAATTTTCAGAACAAATTGTCAGAGCCATGATGTTCTCCACAATACCTTGAAGTTGTTGCTTCAGCTTGTCCACCTCAGTCTTCTGTGACTCCAGGTTTGCAAGTTTAGCTGCTTGTGCTTGAACAAAAATATAAAACAGTACGTCACATGCATGAATTTGATATTGCATTATTTGTCATTGCTCAACATGATCAGGGCTACATCTTGACACATTACCTTGAAGCTCTTGTTTAAGCCTCTCCACCTCAGTCTTCTGTAACTCCAGTTCTTTCAGCTTTGCAGTTTGAGCTTGATTAAATAACAAAATGCACATATATTGATATTTATTGAACGATAACATTATTTTTTATTATATCTTATTTTATTTACTTGCACTATTATCTGTGTTATTGTGTTGCACTGTTGGAGGAGCCTTTGACCTCATCATTTCATTGTCATAACTACACGTACATATGAAAATAAAAACCTCGAACCTTGATCTGTACTTGTTTAAACATTAATGACATAGTAAGATAAAGTATTCTCACTGAGGTTGGTCATTGGCTGAGGTAAACAAATACTTACCAGAAACCAAAGTTAGATGACTATAAACAACTTTTATTTGAGCAATAAATAAATATGTTCTTGTTTCTTCCTCAATAAATCCAGCAGGGTAAGTTTAACGGTTAGCTATCTTAACTTTAAAAAGTGACAAAATCCCAATCTGAGTTCACCCCTTGACAAAATAGGTGTGTCTTACTTGTCCAGTGTATAGTAATACAACTGATTTTGAATCAATGTAGTTTTCAATTAAATATATGCGCATTTTAATTTAATAATTTACATTATACAAAAAGCTCTTAGGACTATTACAAAGAGTTGTGTCCTACTGATCCAGTCCAAACAGAAAATGCTGCATTGATTTGGAGGCTTTGGGTAACATGACATTGAAGCTATAGAAAATAAATGATGCTTTTCAAAAAATTAGCTGCTTAATGTTCATAACAATATTCATATAAAACAGACGAGTCATTAAAATCCAATAAAAAAGGTTTGTCTTGTTTGTCCAGTAATAGTAATACAATGCTTAATTTATCTGGTGTCATTCATTCACAAAACATGAAAGCTATTGAAAAGAAATAAGACTTTTAAAACAAAAACACTCATTTGTATAAGTTATACACAATTGAAAAACTAAAATCTTTTTAAAAAGAGGTGTGTCCTAGTTCAAAGTGTATCAAGTAAATTCTGCATTGGGTAACACTTTATATTAAGGTACACAAATTAACCATCAACTAGTTGTTAATTAACATGCATATTAGCAGTATATTGGCTCTTTATTAGCCAGTAATGTTATGTGTTGTACAGTCATTGCTTTATGACGAACTTGACGCTTTTACTCTTCAGGTTGCATAGGGAAAATTAGTAGCAGTCTACTGCCATGCTATTCAGTTCACTTTCTCCTACTTCCTGTACCCGGTTTCCTGTCTAACCTTCAGTACAAATGTCACAAAAATATAAATGTACAAATATGAAACATACAGGTCAACATCACCTTGCTATTGGTAGCTGAACTGTCAATACCCCAAAACATATTCTTCGATATAAATACCTAATTTTGAGTTATTTAGACACAATTAACACTAATAGTTTCATGTCTTGTTACATAAGAATAGATCATATTTGTTGAGTGTTATTATGGGAGAATTACTATTCTTGTGGTACTACTGCCTTATTAGGCCCATATTGAGCATATTAAGACCTAAACTCATGTACTTCTTACTTGCAATAAATCCTTACTTGCAATAAATAAGCACTAATTAGAGGGTTATTGAGGAAAAACTCTCAACTAATGGCTTATTACATGTAGAATATGGTCATGTAGAATAAGGCATTAATAAATGTTTTATGACTAATACTTGGCTTCATTATACGTGTCTTTATTTACCAGGACTTTATGTTATCCCTAATATTTAGTCCCAGGTGAAATCACATCATTTTTTAGGGCTGTTAATGTTTTGTTGACACAAAAGAAAACGCAAATCAGGGACGTGCACAGACATTTGGAGGGGCTATTGCTCTAAACTGGAAAAAGGGCCTCCCCCCAAAAAAAATATAAGACTGAAACGATTATTACATTAACTGATTTGAACAGTAATTCACATCATCATCTCATTACAAAATAAGTAGGCAACTACTTGCATTCGGTGACTTGATTTTTAAAATGAAAACCAGGGACATATTTAGTTTTGCGGTCCATATCTCATTAAACTATCTAATGTTAGAAACTATTAAAGAAAAAATGGGGAAAATTCTGTTCTAATGTAGTTTGACCATTGTAACTGCTGAACAGACATACTGATCAAATAGGGCTTCTCTAATTACCTTAAATAAACTCACTAATTAATTAAATTAAATTTTCTTAATCTCTTTCATTTTTTGTAAAGCACTTTGAATTGCCTTGTGTTGAAAAGTGCTATATAAATAAACTTGCCTTGCCTTGCCTAAACCAGTTCAATATGCATTATTCTTATCATTCTTTATGAGCGCAGTAACGGTAAGGTATCTAACTAGTTATGTATTTAGTATTCCCTAACATAATAACAGAGATGCTCAAACTAAAGTGGAGACAAGGCAGAAATCCTACAATGAAGCGGGACAGTGAAGTGTTCTCCTGAGAGAGGGCGGCCCCGTTGAGGGAGTTTATCATGGATGTTTAATAGGAGTTTACGGAGCAGATGGAAAGACACAGAAAGACAGAAGCACAATAACAAGTAGGTATATGTAGGTGTTTTTTTGTAAATAACCGACGGTGTCAAGAGGAAGTAAAGTCCCTCCCATGAGAAAACTCAAAGTCCATTTTCCAAAATCCGATACAGTAGCCTATGATAAATATAATATATATAATAGCCTACGTAACATGTGTAATCACACACTTAGCGATATAGAACATAAATAATAAAAACGTAGGCCTACCTGGTTTAAAACACTTTTGTGGTCATACTTTGGAATGAGTTAACACTGAAACGAGTTCTTCATTCAAAATGTAGGGGCAAATACATATAAGAGGAAGGAGAAGAAGAAGTAAAATAAGTTGTAGAAGAAGAGTGAAGCTGGTGTGTTTTCCCCATGGTTTTCCCGCAGCGAGACATTACAATACTAATTGTGGGCTCATCATGTTGATTCGACCACAACAGAAAGACAAAAAAAACTCTCGCTCTCTCCAGAGGGGCAGGTCAGCCAAAAAGGGAAAACGGGCCGTTGCCCGGGCAACCTGTGCACGTCCCTGACGCAAATGAATCACATTACAGTTTGACCCACATTTGTTTCCTACTCCTTAGCTTCTTAACAGTGATGCTTCAATGCAAAATGTGTCCTTTGATTTCAGGACCTATTTCTGACTCATTTTGGGAACGTTATGTTGAGTGATTAGGAACATTTTGCTAATTAAAGCTGCTTCTTTACTTTTACTTAAACCTACATTTGGTTTATTGATGCTATGGTCACTTAAAAGAAAGTAAAACAACCTGCAAACACAACATTGACAAATCACCACTGTAATATTTTAGCAAGCATTGGCTTACTAACAGTTCCAGCCGTCACTAAGCGACATTAGCTTTACTTTGGTATCATGTTTCTGTCCTCCTGATGAATGTAAGTCCAATATGAGCGCTGATTCTGGTTCCCACCAACTCCTTAGGGAAACATATGTCTCCTTAGCTGCTGTTTGGCGCCGGGGAAGGAGGTGTAGTAGATTTATAAGACATTTAGCTGGTGAACTGAGCTGCCTGCTTTTGCTGTAAATGCAAATGCTGGGAGCTTGGGCCACATAGTTATGTTGCTGTGAGGGGGAAAAAGCAATGGGCTGAATGAAGCTAAAACACTCTGTAGAGCAGAGTGATCATTCTCTGTGGATGTGTGACTCCGACCAACAATTGTAATTAAAGCCATTGGCTGTGTTAGAATATTGATTGGTTCAGCTTTAAAGGTCCCCGATTATACTGTTTTTCATCCTTATATTATACGTCTCAGATATGTTCAAAACATGTTGTGGGAGAAACTTCTGTGTATCAATGAGATATGATGAGCAGGAGATTTTATGTCAAACACTGATGGTTTATTTAGGAGTTTCGGCCGGAGGATTCACAAAACAATTCACACAGTCACGATCTGACTGCACGGGAGAGTTGCCACGTCAATTCTGAAGCGTCTCTCTCTTGCTAAACCTTTTAACTGGTTCAGCAGAGAGTAATCAACATATTTGAGGAGATAGCCTAAACATCTGGGAACACTGAATTACTTGCGTCTGACAATTATGGCCTCGAAGATTTCACACCTTGGAGCCCATAAACACAGAGAAGGTAGTGTTCCAGTGTACCCACAACAATAAACCATTTGTGACCGAGAGTTGCCTGGTCATAAAATGGGAACAACAACATATGGCTGAAGCAGCCCCTTTCCTTAAGGGAGATAACAGACGTCAGGGTTGGTCATAAACGTCAAAGGGCAAAAAGGTTAGATATCTAGGAGTCCAGGAGAATTATTCCCTAACACATGTCTCTGAAGTGTTTGGCTCCAAACACCAAACAGATCATTGCAGCATTACCCATAATCCCCTCTGTTTCAGCCCTGTTTCCAAAGTGCTGATTCTCTGTCTGTGACTTTAGATGAAAATAAGGAGCCCCTCCCCACGCCCCTCTGAGAGAGATTTGGTTACAAAGAACTCAATGGTGCTCTAGGAGGAGATTCAGGTGATAAGGTGGGGGGGTTACCTTGGTTGGTGATTGGCTCATGGTTACACAAGCCAACAAATCGTTATGACATCATAAAGTGGCCAAAATCTGATCAGCTCATTTTCAGACAGGTTTTTATAGAAATGGATCAGGACAAAAAGAGAGAGAATCTTTGTTCCTGAATAGCTGACCTTTAAACCAAAATAATGAATGCTGGACGTTCACCTCTAGTGGAGGTTATTGACATCAGGTTGCAATTTTCCATTGATCCATTGTCCACCACAGTCGGGTCGTGGAGGAAGCGTTTCCAGCAGAGGGCCCCAGACTCCCATTCTCTGGCCACATCGACCAGGTCTGACTGGAGGATTCTAGGGTGCTCCAAGGCCAGCGTGGAGATATAATCCCTGGTTATATCTCTATTATTTGTCCTTGGTTTGCCCCTCGGTCTTCTCCCATTGGCATGCCCTGAAACACCTCCCTAAGAAGGAGGCAACTGTCTCCTTTTCACGCAAAGGAGAAGGGGCTCTATTCCTAGTCTCTCATTGATGACTGAACTTCTCAATTTATCACTAAAGG